GCAGAGAGTTGGGGCTGTAGGCTTTGGTTGGGGCTTGGCTGGCTGCCTGCCCACACAGTAGTGGGCAAATTAAAGATTAAACGCTGGCAAAAATATGCTATGGGGTCAGTCACTGGAGGGGCTGGAGAGCTCCAAAAACAATGCCCACCCAGCCAGCCAGCCAGACAGACAGACAGACAGACAGCGTCGAGAAGTGAGAGCTGGAGAAGGAATGGGGCCCAAGCTCAAGTCAAACAAAAGCCAAATGAAATGAACGCACGCTTAGCTGAGAAGCTGACGCCAGTCAAGTCGAAGTCGAAGAGGGGAATGAAGCGGTCAATAGGAGCACGAGGAGGAGCAGGAGCAGGGGCTGAAAGAGCAGGAGAATCCGGGAGCAATGGTTCTCTGCCAATTTATGCGCATTATTAAAGCGAATGCATGAGATGCTTCACATGCCAAAGGTGAGCCCATCGTGCGGATCCAAGTGCACGTCAGGGGTTGCGTGGGCTCCAAGTCTGGCCTGCTCCGGTGATGGCCACGTACATACGTACATAGGTGTCGTAAACGGACATTTATTTATGTAGATTTGTGTTGAAGGCAACAGACTGTATGTGTCTGGTAAGAAAATAAAATGGTGGACAGGGAGAAATGTTTTTTCTTATTAGAATTATTAAATCAAGGTAGAGTTGGTCTATAGACAGACATGAAACTTCAACGAGAAATAAATACACAATAATGACAAAATTTCTACATGCTTTAAAAGTGTAAATTAATATATCATTAATAGAGTTCTCTATAATATGATAACAGTTTATATAGATTCAGCTTAATTCAATTGGATTCTAAGCATGTATGCAATCTTTTGTGAAGTGCCATCAACTACAAAATACTCGCTCACTCTTTGAAAGTATTTAAAGCGGTTTTAGGTAAATCTTTAGAAGGCCTCCGCAGCAATTTAGCTCTTGCATTTTTGAGTTATAGGCTCAAAACTGTAGAAGATAGATACAGCTATTAGTTGATGTGGTTTCAGTTTATAATGGGCATGTCTAAACTAATTTATATTAGCTATATATTTATTACCTTCACTAATCAGTAGCTGACTCGAATTAGGAGAAGACTCAGCCGACATCATGCGCGAGACTTGCTTGATATAAGATAGATATATTGTAGCCTTCAAGCTTCAGCTACACCCCATATACTCTTGCTTCCCTTTAGCATTTTATTGTGTGACTCTTAACGTTAATGGCTCTATTATTTAATTTCGGTTTATTTATTCTTTTTCACATTCACTTCACAGTTGCCCACTATAATTATAAGTTATATCATGTTTAGCCCCTATCAAAAGCCACAATACTTGATGATATTATTATTCCAAAATAAGGATGTAAAAGTAACCGAAACATAAAAATGCGAGCCATTGAGCAAATGTAGCTGCTTCATTAAACGTAAATTTTATGGCTTTAACATTAATTTATGCACACTTCAAATGTGGCTGAAATTATAAGATTTTAATAAACTCGCTCGGCCGTCCAATGTGCTGCAGTGCATCGCATTAAGTACGCGCCATTTAAACGGGGCCAGGACCGGGGCCAAACAATAGGCATAAAAATCAATTATGAGCCATTAGCCGGGGCACAACAAGCGCTTCAGACTGTTTGGCCAGGAGCGAGCTCCAAGGGACTACTCATGCCCTCATGCTCCTGCCCATGCCCATTCACAGCAGAGCACAGCACAAGTGTGGCTCATAAATCATCTGGCAGGCTGTTGCGCCGACTTCAGGCTTTGCCAGTTTACATATACATATATATGTATGTATGTATATATATATAAAGCAACTCCTCGATTTCCCAGTTGTTCACGCATTAAATATTTATTTAGCAAGATTTTAATGGAGCCAAAGAAGTTAAGTGTGCAAATGCCGAGCAACACGCAGCAGCAGGTGAATCTGCCAGGCAGCCAGACTAACGTGTCCTTTGTGGGCGTGGTGTGTGTGCGTATTTGTTGGTGTTTGTATTTTATGTAGTTGACAGCTGTAGGCATCGGATTTTGCTCTGTGCGCACAGAGCAGAGCGGAGCAGACAAATTCATTTCATTCGTCCGGAAATTAAATGCATGTTTGACCTATTTAAATTTTTGAAGTAGCGTTTTGAAGAGCCTATGAAATATAATTTATCGTGAACACACATTTCAATGAGTCTGTGCAAGATTGACTATAAATTGGTACATGAGGGTGAGCTGAGGCTTAAGCTGGATTGAGAAACTAAATGCCATTGTGCTAAGAGCCATTGAGATGCAAAGAGAAATTCTAAATTGAAATCATAAATATTTGTATTAGCATATGTTAGAAAAAAATATTAAATAGCATAAACTAAATGGTTTGCTGGTTAAAATCTAAAATTTCATGAAATTTATTTATAAAATTTATAGCTTGTTGTTTTTTTTTAAATTATTATTAAGTGTAGATCCTGTACATCAGAAATAGTACTATAGCAACAGAAGTAAATGATTAAATGAAGAACCAAACCCCATAACGAGTAATCAGGATTTCTATTTATAGCTTATTATTAATATTATCTTCATTTCATTTTAAAAGCTTTAATATCAATATTTTAATATAATACTTTATATTGTTTTTTTTTTTTTTCATTTTAGATTCCTTTAACTCTATGTATGCAATGGATAAAGTTAAGAAATTCCGAACTTTGGTGATACTGTTTTAAATAAAATAACTGAATTTCTAATACTTTGCAGAACAAGTTAGATCTCAATAGTAAGTAAAAGTAGTTAAACAATTAAATAGAATCAGATGTCTTACCATTTTTCCATCTCATCTAGTAACATATACTTAAAATACGCACCTCAGTTTGATTAACATGCAATGCGGCAAATTTGCTAAATTTACTGCTAATTACAACACACTTTAGTATATGCGGTAGAAATTGAGTTTATTAAAGCTGAACTGGCTGAGGAAAAAGTGTTGCTGCCATTTGCGAGAGTGTTCGCTCATTAGAGGCTCGAAGGGCATTTGTGGCTTAATTAGCGACATAAAAGCAGCTCACACCCAAGATCCTAGTTAACTGTGTGGTTCCCCCCTCCAGCCCCAACTGCCATCAGCTGGTCATGTGACACTTCCGTCACGGCCTCCCTCCCTCTCGCTAACGTATTGCTGCTTAGTTTGCCGCTCACGTTGCTCTTTTGTGGATGGGGGGGGCAGAGGAGTTGTGGGCGTTGGGGGTTACTTTTATGACTGATTATGTTGTTTTTCGGCATTTAATTGCCACTTGGACTGCGTGCGGATGTGACTATTTTTATAGCTAATGAGCAGCTTGAGTTGAATTCCTCGTCCATTCAAGCAGCATCAGGTGTATTCGGCATTATAATGCTTGGTGTGGGTAAATGGGCACAGATGAAGGTCTACGAACTGTCCAATAAAATGCAAGAAGTTATGTGCGGGTTGTTAAAAATGCGATAAATTAAAATAAATGGTTGGTTGGCGTATCCTAGGGGGATGTGGGATGTGCTTGTCGGCGTTTGGACTGGTTGGAAGGAAAAAATAAAATTATAGAGGTATTTCGGTAAGAAAGAGTTTAATATACGCGTCTATAAAAATGTGTTTTATAAAAACAATAGACATATTAAAACGAAAAATACCAAAAGACAAAATGATAAAAACTTATAAGAATGTACGCCATTAAAAAAAAGAGAAGACATTTTGTATGTCTTTACAACTAAATAAACAATTAATGTTTTCGTTAATATTACATTGGTCTCTCTCTTTCTTTCTTACTTTTCCGATCGCGGACTAGATTGCCCTAGCTGATATTGTCATCCTATTCACACGCTCGTTTTATTTTTAGAATATGAATGGTACTCGCGCTTTATAAGTTTTATGAGTCGGACAGTGAGATAGTGTGTGAGAGAGTTGTTGAGAGACCGATATACGCTATGCTAGCTCGCTGTGTATGTTTACTCGGTCTCACACAGAAACTCTCCCACGCACTACCTGAATTCCTCTCAGAGAGTCGCTGCACACAGACATAGTGTGCGAGCAAATCAGATATATTTAAAGAGCGCTGGTTGTGCTTGCTAATATTGTTATCCCACTCGCACTTTCGTTTTACGTTTGGAATTTAATGGTGCTGGTGCTACTCTCGCACTCACTGTCGGTAGGTCAACTAATCAGTGAGAGAGTGTGTGAGAACGATCCACGCTATGCGTGATATGGTCGCACACTATATGGCTGCCATGCTCGCTTGCTGTGTATGCGTACTAGATCTCACACACACACTCTCCCACGCACTACCTGAATTCCTCTCAGAGAGTCGCTGCACACATAGTGTGCGAGCAAATCAGATATATTTAAAGAGTGCTGGTTGCGCTTGCTAATATTGTTATCCCACTCGTGCTTTCGTTTTGTATTTGGAATTTCATGGTGCTAGCGCACGATACATACGTACGCGCGGTCACGCCTATTTTGTCTCAATACTTTTGCTTCTCAGTTCGATAACTATTTAATAGTGTGTGATTTTAGTAATACTGATTGACTCTAACAGCCGTTTTCATATATCAAATGTTATGAGCAACCTTATTAAAGTCTGGAGTTTACTTATTTAGCGCTTCTCAAATGTCATGTCAAAAATTGTCGTACTGAAAAATGAAATGTTAGCTATTTTGCAGGCAGACTCAGCTGCAGCTACCAAATTACTCGAGCTGTTTGACTTAATGGCCGTTCAGATTGGCAGCAAACAGACGGCAACACAAAGAGCCAGCCATAGATTTAGAGAAGGATGACAGACAGAAAGAGAAAGAAGTAGAGAGGCCGTGGAGAAGAGATGGACGACACACATACACAGAGTAAACGTCAAAAGAAAACGCATTACTTGCAGCGCGACGGGGCAAAAGAAGTATCAACTGAAATTATGCGTTTGCACAAGACATAAAGCGAGCTGTCAAAGTAAACGAGTATTAGGCCATGTTGTACCCTGTTAAAGTTGAATTCAGTGGAAAAGTTTAAATCGACATTAAGTATCAAAATTATAATTTTATATACAATAAAAAATTGCAAATTAGAATTCATTTTTGTAGAACAGATCAAACTTTTCATCTTCTATAGGATCTTGACCGTCCGCATTCTGCACATAGCAGGTCTCCATGCACTCGCTTCTTGTCGCAAAACGATTTGGATTTCCACCGCAGCCACTGTAATAGAAGTGTACACAACGATTGCTTACATAGTCATAGCCGAAAACACGAATTTTAGCATCGCATGGACCAGCATCGGCCATATAAAGGCATTGAGCTGCGTAAAAGGTAGAACAATCATATGTTAAATTGACTGATACCAAAATTAAATACGTACGTGCTCTAATAACTGTGTTGAAGGCCGCCAGTGCTGTGCTAATAAGCGTTAGAAAATAAGTTAATTGCATATGATTCATGATGATGGAAATGGAAAGCCACAGAAATTCTAGAAATAGCTAGAATAAAATTCAAATACAGTTACTTAAAGTGAATAATCAAGGCTAAATTGATGTTTGACAATGATTCAGAGCTGATATACCCCGTATGGATAGCATGGTTAGCTGAGACACATATGTACATACATATATACTCAGCCAGTTTCTCTCTAAGTCTGCTGGCTGAATTGCACTTTGGAGTAGTCGCAGCATAGCACTTCATCATTTTTATTGCCAAGAGAAACATCACTTCCTACCCACTGTTTGCTGTCTTTTCTAAAACCAAAAAGTTTTTTTGTCCGTCTATTTTTTTTTTTTGTTTTTTTTTGTTTTGCGAATTTGACTAACGATTTGATGACGTTGATGGGGCTTTGAAAAGCATAAAATAAAAATGCATGATATTGAGAGAGAAGTTGTCGCCGCATATTTCACGCCAAAGTGCAGCGCGCTTTAAGTTCGAGCAGCGGAAGTGGATGTGGCTGTGGCAGCAACGGAAACGGATATGAGACGCCATAATGTAAACGGCAAACACTCAAGTTTTGCCAACGATTCGTATCTTGCTTTAAATGTCTGGCTTAAAAAATCGATTTAATTTAATTTGTAAAGCGATTTTCACTTAAAACGTGATTACGCAAATTTTCAATTTGAAAACGATAACGAAAATTGGCAGCGTAACTGAAGAAGGGTCGGGCTGGCTAGGGCGTAGAGCCTGCTCTCTCTTCCCCCATTTCCATATTCCCTTTCCAGCTAAACCAATTGGCATGCGTTGTCGCCCCAAAGACTTCCGCTGTTTTCTTTGCAATGGTTGTACATGCGTTGCGTGTTGAGCGTCTGTGTCTCGCGGGTATTTCCGCGTCAAATTCTCAAGAAGCATAATTATATATGTTATATGCACAAAGGGAGAGCGTAATCAATTTGGTGTGTAACAAGCAAATCGAGGCTACTGGCAATGTAGCTATTTTAGTCATGGTATGTGGGGGTGTACTACTCTTTTATACATACATACATACATACATACATGCAAATTTCTTATCTGCTAGACCCCATATGACACTAGTAATAAAGAAAATAATTCAAATAATATTAAAAGAATTAAGCGCTTTAGTTTACGTTCATTAGACTAGACGTTAGTTGTGTATTGTGTGGCTTTTTGTTGCCTTATGCTGTTATATATATTTATTTTAAAAAATATGTACATTTTAAAAGTATTTCTCAGATAAATAAATATAAATATATTTACAAAATGTTATTTTATTATTCACAATTTTTATTTAACATAAATTTTTATTTTATATGGCTTTAGATTTATTTAATACAAACAGTTGAAACTCTCTAAAAAATGATTTAAATTCATACCTATTTTCTGTGCAAATAGAGTTCATGTTACCCTATTTGGCAGTTACTATTGCCAAAACATAGCAGCATCCTTCGAAATTCCAATAAAAATCAACAGCAAATCCGCAAAAACCAGAAAACAGTTAACATTTATCGACAACCGCTGAGCAATATTTGCACCACGTTGCCTGGCCCAAAGGGCCTTCAACCGACACTTAATTAAGTTTCAGTTGCTGCAACATTTGCCAGTCACTAAAACCCAATGCACAGCAGCCGCTTATGATGCTGCTCTCTCTCCCTCTCTCTCTCTGTCTCTCTGACGTTAGTTGCCACAGCAAAGCTCTGCAGCGACCGCTAATGCGGTTTAGTTGTGCTCCCGCTTCGCTCCCCATCCCCAGCTGCAGCCGTATCGCAACTAAAGCAATTGCATTTGGCACCACACAAAATGTAACGCAAATTTTGACAGACGCTGATTTCAGTTCGTTGATTATCGTTGACCACTGCACCTGAACAGGTGGTGAGCGAAAGGCAAGGCCTCCAACAGCCTCGAACAGTGAGTGCAAATTGTTACAAATTTGGGCAGCAGGAATGTATTTTTCTCTTTTTTTTTTTTTTTTTTTGTTAAATTTAAATAAATTTGCAATGGCTGGCAAGAGTTGGCCGTTGCCATTGTTGTTGTATTTTTTTGGCCAAAGCGGAAATCTACCCTCATCAAGTTCCATTAGATTGTCAAAGCTCAGACTCGACGTTGGCGTCGGCTCAACCGTGCGCAAAAGTGTCAAAATGTTTAACATATGCCCACACGAGACATGGGCAGGGCTCTATTTATTGTAGTTGTTGTTGCTCTTACTGTTGTTGCTGTTGTTGTTTGCACTGACATTGCTGATAACAATGACAATAACAAGCAGCCGACGCCCTGTGGGGCCATGTGTGAAGTAGTTTGCTAGGGGCCGCCCCCAGCACTGATTGGGCATGGCTGCGTTTGGTGAGTAATCACATGAAATGGGCTGTTGACCTGGTTGTTGAACACAAACCAGCAACCGTGCTCTAGTGTTAGATAGCGCCACAAAATGTGACGGGATTTGAGCAGAAGCTTCATGTTCAAAGGTACACCTAAAGTATATATAAGGCTTCAAATTTATACTATGCATACCTCACAATTTATTAAAAAATATATATAGTTACAACAAAATATCAAGATATTTTAAGCACCATAAAAAAGCTATCTCTAGCCAATAAGCGCAAGATATTAACGCCAATGTGGAGCTACGGTGTTCAAGTTTGGGGAGTTGCCGCCAAGAAAAAAAATTCCAGGCATTACAAAACAAGGTCATGCGCAAAATCTCTGGTTGCCCCTGGTTCGTCCGCAACTCATATCTGCACAGAGACCTCAAGCTAAACCTGTGATTGAAAATTGTTGAAAATTGTATGAAATAAAAATACTAATGTATATATAAATATATAGTATTTAGTATTTTATTTTAGGTTAGGTTAGGTTAGTCTCTCGCTTTATGGCATGACACCCATTAATTAAGCGATACATAATATTAATGTCATCTGACTTTACAGTAGTTTCATTGTATTATATTAAAAGAAAATATTTAAAAGTTAATAGCAAATTAAAAGAAAATAAAATGTTCTTTTTAATTGATTCAATTTCATAAATTTCTCAATTGAATTCATTCATTCATTTATTCTGGAGTAAGAGAAAGAAATTTTGATTATATTCGTCTGCAAGGCAAAGAAATCTCATTTCCTAAAGTTTATTTCTTATGCAATTCTGTCGACTGGAAATTTTGCTGGCTCAGCTGAAACGCTTTTTCTTGCCACTATTTTTTTTGGCTGATTATAAGAAGCCGCCTAGGAGTATGCACTGCGCTAATTACCAGCCGACTAGCTCAAGCCGCTGACTTGATGGGACTCGTACCAAAGGAAGTTTCCAAATATTTTCATTAGCTGGCGCCGCAGTTTTCTGGCATTTCCTGCGTGTCCCGCGCAAACACCGCCCGACCATTAAATGCTTTAAGCTACATAAAATGTGAGTTTGGCTTAGGCCTCTTAACGTCTCCTCTTAGCCAATGTTCAACTGAATTTAAACGAGCGAGTTAACAAGCTAAAATTTGATTTATTGCTAGGCGAAAACTTTGCGCCTCGACTTTGGCGCACACTTTGCTCTTGTGTGTGGGCGTGTGGGCGTATGGGCGTGTCAGGGATAAAACGTCTATCAGCTGCCAGTTGAACACTCGCCCACAGCACTCTCCTCACTCCCCCTTCTCCTGCTGACTGCACTTGTCTGGGCCATATGCAAAAGACGCCCACTAAACTTTAATGAGCTGACATTGAGGCGCCTTCGTGCGCCATTTGGGCGCCGAAAAGTTTGCGTTGTTGCTTTAATTGCTTTGCGTGCCAAGCGAAAATGTTCCACACTGGTAGTTGGGAGTGTCTGGAGTTTCCCGTTTACAGTATTTTTTTATGTGCATTTTTATGGCACACGAGCAAACAATTTTGCTACACAAATTCCATAAAAAAAACTGAGTATTCCTTTTGGGATAGGTCAGTGTTAACGGCCTTTAAATGCAGTTAAGGGAATTCCATTTTGTGTTGCCTACTTTTAAGCGTCGTCAGCGGAGTAAGCAGTGCAAAAGCTGCACTTGAACACGCGCAGAATTTATAGCAAGCAGTGCATGAGCAATTAGCTCAATTAAAGTTTGTTTCTAATAATATAGAATATAAAGTATAAAATGTAAAATATATATTAAAAATAATATTAATAATAATAAAAAATAAAAAAATAAATAAAAAATTAAACAACAAAATATAAAATATAGAATGTGATACTTTAAATATGAATATGAAATATAAAATATTAAAGATAAAATATAAAATATAAAATATAAAATATAAAATATAAAATAGAATATGTAAAAGAAAAAATATAAAATATAAAATATAAAATATAAAATATAAAATATAAAATATAAAATATAAAATATAAAATATAAAATATAAAATATAAAATATAAAATATAAAATATAAAATATAAAATATAAAATATAACATATAAAATATAACATGTAAAAGAAAAAAGATAAAATATAAAATATAGAAGAGTATATAGGATATTTGAATTTTATAGCTAGCTTTAGATTGAAATCAGACTCAATGTTCGTTTTTTGTTTATTAACGGAAATATTTTGTGTGCCTGTGTGTAATTTATGTCCTGCGTATTATTAGCTCATATTTATGCTGCAAATTATCTGAGGTTCCACATATAGTATAAGCTGCTGTTAATTTCCATTACAAAGTGAAAGGCTGGAAGGTCTGAGAGCTGGGAGCTGGGAGCTGAGAGCGTTTGCCCAAGTGGATCTCGTACATAAGCGTATCAATATGCAAAAGAGGTTTGGCCCAGGACTTGCCACTAAGTGAATGTGAAGACACGGCAGCCAGAAGCCCACAGGACACAAGTGGCTAAACGTGACGGGCATACATTAGCACAGCTCGACATACATACATAAATACATGCATATATGTATGTGTTTTTGTGTATTTGTGTACCTACAGCTCAGCTGAATCTCCCCTCGTCCCGCAATAAATGCAAAAAATAAGCATAAAGTGCAAAAAAAACATGGCATAGAAAAACGCGTTCAAGTGTCGGTTGGAAAAAAAGTAAAGAAAAGAAAGGAGAACAAGTGCGAGCGCCAGCAAAAAACATGCCAAAAAGTGAACACGAAAAAATATTCAATCAGACAA